ATCACATTTCCCAAATTGCAAACTATGTGCACGCTATGGTGGGGGATCAGGTATTTCTCTGGGTGTGTTGGGTCAGGTGACACCTGCCTGTTGTGGGAATGCAGAAGTCCGTGGGAATTCTGATTTCTTACCTGGAACCGGGAGGTCGTGAGTCACAGTCGTTTGGAGTCAGTGATATTTAATACAGTGCCGTGGTTCCTACCATTAGGATTGTGAATTTTGGAAATGGTGATGGAGGAAGAGGCAGGGGACCAGAGGTGAAGACGCAGGGATTGCTTGGAAGGAAGAAGGCACCTTCTGGGTTCTTTAGGGTATGGAATCTGGGAGCCTGGCTTGGCAGAGATCTTTGGAGCCCTGCTTCCTGGGGGAAGGAGAGCAGTTAAGTGAAATTCAGGCATAGTAGCTTGCATTCTGTCGAACCCAGAATTTGGGGGCCAAAATTTCTTCAGACACAGACGATGCTTAAGGTGTTGCTGGTTCGCAGTTAACATCCCTCTACCATACTGGGAGTTCTGAAGTGGGGTCGCCTTTTCTAAAATCACGCTTCAGTTTGCACTGTGATAAGCCAAACTTGATTGTGCCCGGTCCTCAAGTTTGCAGAAGTAAACGTGATGCAGCCAGCCCTGCTTCTCCAGGTGCATTATACAACTCTGCCTCCTTCTGGTTGCAGCTGGGCCCAGTGTACACACTGTGCTGTGTGCAAGTGCAAAGATCTCAATCCCCTTAATGGTTTTTGATTCCGGAGATAATTCTTTGGGGTAGCTGTTCTCAGGATGGCTCACACAGAGGCTCAGCCCTGCAGTGAGGAACTGACTCTAATCGTGATTGCCTGTAATGATGATTACCCAAACTCTAGAATTATAACAATGGATTTTACAAAGTTAGAGCATAATTGCTCCCCCATTCCATATGGGAGCACAGTTTAAACAACTTTGATCTTTCAAATGATATCAGGCTTTTGTTATTCATCTTCTGAAATAGCAAAGTTCAGAGGCAGTGACTGTGAACATTTTTTACCTCCTCTCTCCCCTTTTAATCACAGCAAGGCCTAGATTTGGTAAAGCAATTCATCTCTTAAAAAATAAGGGCTGCAGTTGGGTAGAGCAGAAAGGACAGAATGGTGGCGTTCAAATCCCAATCCTGGCCCTGCCTGGTGGTGCAGCGGGTTGAAGCGCAGCATTTTGAAGCTGTTCGCAGCCATCACAGCCTGAGCTTGATCCCCGGCCAGGGAGCTGACCCACATGGCGCAGCAGACCTCTCCTGACCCTCCCACTGCTCCCCTCAGCTGTGTACTTCATTGATCTGCCTGTTCTGCTCCCCACTCTGTCTCTGGGGAATCCTCTCACCCCCTGCACCGCTGGCCTGTACTCCTTATATGCACAAATAAGTCTTTTTAAAAAATAAATTTAAAATAAACCCCAACTGTGCCATCAAGAAGCCAGGTGACACAGAGGCCGTCTCATCCCTCTCTGACTCAGCTTCCTCACCTGTAAATCTCCACCTGGCTGAATCATTGTACTAGAAATGAATATGAAGCACTAAATTAGTGTCTCACACTTACAGGCAGTCAGTTAAGCTAGACTGTTACCATCCTTATCAATTCTTTGATCAGTCTTCTGACGCTTTCTGAGTCTTTGAGCTTTGTAGGCTTCATGGACATTCCCACGTGTTTGGAATTGGTGACCAGAGAGATGGTATTTTTTGGGGCAGAACTTTGCAAGAAATTAGTATTGAGGAAAGAAGTGGACCTCCTAAAAGTGGAGCATTTTGACCTTGACACCATTTAGTACAGAGTAACTACTATTTAATGCTTTGCCACTCCTTGCCTCCATGGTTCTCAGCCTTCACCTTGCATTTGGGTAAGATGCACCCACCTTCCTGCTGCCCCGACATGTAAAAGATGTGGCAAGACCCAGAATTCAACCTGTGTGGATTATCTGGTGATGGTAAGAAAGAGGGCTCAAGGACTGTCTGTCCAGCTGGCTTCCCATGCTCCCCTGCTTGAGAAGCCACCTGGTACCTGGGTTTTGGGGCCCATTTGTGATTTTAACACAGTGACGAAACCCCTGCTTCTACAGAGCCCCACTCAGGGGCCCACAACCAGGAAACCAGCCTGGTCTGCTTGGGAGGGAAAGAGGTGATGGTCACAGAGCTTGAGCATCTCAGTGTCAGCATGCCTGGGCACCCCCAGCAATGTCACCTGCACTACTCACTGAGTCCAGCGTCTGCCAGCCGCCCCAGACTGATGCTGCCGTGGTGAGCTAAGGCTGGTCTCTGGTCTGCACTGGTTCATTCAGGAGCCGCCAGAATGATCAATGAGGCTGGGCAGCCAGTGAATCAGCTGCCAACTGCCTCGACCGTCCCTTTTGCATGGAGCAGGAAGCACTTGAACTGAGAGCAGCCGGGACTGAGTCGTGTCTGGCTAATGGCTTCTCCGTGTTGTTCGAGTCCTTGATCTCAGACATTTGGCATTTGGGAGTGAGTTGACGCTCCAAGTAGGGCCCAGTGGCAGACAGGGACAGATATATCCTTCCGTCATCCACCTTCCTTCCCTCACCTCCGCCCTTGACAGGAGTTTCGCTTAAGGGCTTTTGCTTTAGAAGCAGTCCCTGATTTTTCTTTAATTGAGGTGAAATTCACATAACACAAAATAAGTCATTTTAAAGTAAACGATTCAGTGGTGTCTAGTGTATTTGCAGTGCTTTATATCCACCACCTCTGACAAGAGCTGAAGCACTTTTTTTTTTTTTTTGGTTAGGGGCTAACACTGCAGGATTTTGTGGTCTTGTCATATAGAGACTAGAAGCTGAGGATCAAGGCAGGGTAGGTCTGGGAAGAGAAGAATGTATTCCAGGCCTTATTCTTTGGTTTCTAGGTGGCCATCGCCTCCCTGTGTCTCTTCACATCATTTTCTATCTGTGCTTCTCTCTCTGTCCAGCTTGCCCCAAGTTCGTATAAGGACACCGTCTCTGTGGCTCAGTGCCCACCCAAATGACTTCATTTAACCTAATCACCCCTATAAAGGCCTTATCTTCTGAGATATTGAGACTTCTAATGAGTTTTGGAGATGCCATTCAGCCTGTAATACTTGGTAAGTGGCACAGTCATGTGTCACTTAACTATCACATAAGCTGTCAGCTTTGGGCCACTTAACAGATAGTTGACCCAGAAGGCTCTGCATGTGGCAGGTTGTACCACTTACATCTGTGTTGACACTTTGCTGTTCACACACCAACAAAATTGCCTCATAACACATTTCTCAGTAGGTATCCTGGTAAGTGACAGATGACTGTATGGGCTCCATCCTTTTTTATGACTGAATAATATTCCACCGTGGATAACTAAGTACAAAACAACTGTCAGTTAGTAAAATCTCCATTCACAGTCTTCTGAGCGCCCTGTGCCTGTCTTGTGTGCCCTCCTGCCTTAGACAGGATGCTGATCTCTCAGGTGTTAGCTCCCAGATCTCACCTCTGTAAACTTTGCCTTGCTGTCTTCTTCCTTGAAGGAGAGTTTTTATGAGCAGAAGAGTAGGACTTACTAAGGGAAAGCCTGGTCAAGATTCTGATCCCAAAATTAGTTTTAAAAATAGATTTAGACTTGAGAGTAGACTTGGATTTCTCTCTTTGCCTCCTGTTCTTATCCTCAGCACCCCTCTGCCTGCACTCCAGCCCACCCCCCCCCCACAAGCACACACAGTCATGTTAAAAATGTTTGAATGCGGACTGTCAAGGGGAGGGCAGTGGCACATCAGAGCATTGCCTTGAAGTGGAACCTGCCTTCCCATTGTCATGGTAACCGGGCGGGGTCCCTGGGGCTGGCCTCAGACCAGAGCCTTCAGAGTTTCTTCACAAGCCCTCCCTGCACCTGCCTTGGAATGAAAAGGGGCCTTTGCACGCGTATATATTCTCCTCCTTGGAACTGACTGCATGGTTGATTTGTTTTTAAACCCACTTCTCTGTCTTCTGCATGTTTTCTGGAGACCTCCGACCCTGTTGTCCTGGGCTCTTCTGGGGACAGCCGCGGGTGGTCCTTAGCCCTGGACTGCTGTCCCTGGTGATGATGATGGCTCTGTGTGTGTTTCTCACCACATCTGCAGGAAGGGCCACAGGCAGGGTCACGTCATCCTGACTGCAGGCAGACATCCCTCTCCAGGCTGCTCTTGTGTAAAAGTCATTTTACCCCCCTTCTTCACCAAATTGGTTTTGCCACTTTGGAAGCTCACTGGGGGAAGAAATGCCTGCTGGCCCCGGGGTTTTCAGAGAGGCAGAGAGAATGAAACAGCTCAAAATGCAGACAGAAGATGTTCATATTACATGTTGCCCCATATTATCATTTTCTGTAAGTACATGTGGCTTCTGGGACTGAGGCTGGAAGGCTCCACACTGTTAGCGGAATTAGATAAAAAGGAGTTAAAGATCCTATAGATTTTTCTCATGGCGGATGAGCTTTTAGAACACAGTGGGGCCTGCATATGTGGAGGTTTTAAAAGCTTCCAGGTGATTCTAATGTCCAGCCACCTTTAAGAACCGCTGTTCCGGGGGGGAACAGGGCATCCAGGAGAGTGGAACACTTTGGGAGAGGTGACAACAGAGACAGGTGGCATCTAACCCACCTGCGTGCGGTGCTGAAATTAATTAGGTAGAAAGAAGAGACAGGAATAACACATCCTAGCCTGTCTTTGGCCAAGCCAAATGGGAGTTGGGTGCCACTTAACCCTGGAGGGCTGGAGTGAGGGGGGACTCCAAGCTCCCCCACTGTGCTGCCGCTCAAAGCTGGCTCAGTTGCCAGCCACCCCAGAGAAGCCTCGCCAAGGTGATGTTAAATGTTCCCAGGAACACGCCATTGCCACCTTCTCACTACTAGCCTGACTCCTCTTCCTTCGGGAAAAGCAGCATCAGGTCCGTGAGCGCTGACGCCATCTGTCATGGGCCTCACCGGGCAGAAGGGGCATTTTCCGAGGCTGAGTGTGACTGACCTGTGTGTCTCTGTGTTTGTAGTACAAGATCGGACAGCTGTATATGATCAGCAAGCACAGCCACGAGCAGAGCGACCGAGGAGAAGGGGTGGAGGTCGTCCAGAACGAGCCCTTCGAGGACCCTCACCATGGCAACGGGCAGTTCACCGAGAAGCGGGTCTATCTCAACAGGTAAGTCGAGGCAGCTGGTCTCCGCCACTGCTCACTCACTCCGCAGGAACGCTCCCACCTGCCCCCTGCCCCCGGAGGCAGATAACAGTGTGTGGGCTTAGCGGAGGTTTTGGGAAACTTTGGTCCACTTGCTTTCAAGACCAGAATCCCCCTCATTCTGCAAAATGACCTTCAGCCTCATCTTCAGTAGGGCTGCTGGCGCCTCCCCTGTAAGGTGAAATCTGACTAAAGGATTAAATGTCTGTCTTCTCCCTTGGTTCCAAGTTACCTTCAGAAAAATGGCGCTGCCTAGCCACGGTGGAAAGTGTTGCGGCCGCAATGTCTGCTGGGGTCTTGACATACTAAGAGTTCTACTTACTGAGTCACTTACAGAGAGAAGTGACAAAGTGAATGGTCACTTGGGCCTGTGACCAGTAACGCGATGCTGAGGTGCTTACATTTCTCAGGTTGTCACTGCCCCTTTTGAAGGGGCAGAAAAATGGGGATTCTGGCCCTCCCTGGTGGCTCAGCAGGTTAGGACGCAGCACTGCAAGCGAGCCGCAGCCGTTTCAGGGCCAGCCCCGGACGTGACCCACATGGCACGGCAGACCTCACCTGTCTGCCCACTGTCCCCCTCAGCGGTGTACTTTGCCCACCTGCCTGTTCTGCTCCCCACTCTGTCTCTGGCGAATCCTCTCACCACTCCTACACCTCTGGCCTATACCCCAGTTGTGTTGCATAAGTAAATAAATCTTAAAAAAAAAAAAAGGTAATTTAATAATAAAAAAAATGAGGACACCAACCTAACACTAATCAAGGCTACCATTGTACATTGCAAAATATATTCTTTACTCTCTTACTGTTGTCTTAACAGTGGCATCACTGATGATTGGGGCTTGCCCAATCCCCTCACCGCTCTGCACTAACCACTCCATTTTCTTTTTTTTTTTTTTTAAAGATTTTTTTATTTGTGCATACAGAACTGGGGTACAGGCTAGAGATGCGGAGGGTGAGAGGATTCACCAGAGACAGAGTGGGTCGCAGAACAGGCAGATGGACGAAGTCCACTGCTGAGGGGAGCAGCGGGTGGGTCAGGAGAGGTCTGCGCGCCATGTTGGTCACCTCTGGGGCAGGCGGGGATCGAACTCATGCGGAAGTGGTTTCAGCTTCTTAGTGCAGTGCTTTAACCCGCTGCGCCACCAGGGAGGGTCCCAACCACTCCATTTTCTTCCATCAGTTCCTCTCTAGGTCTGAACATTTATGTCGCATGTCACATGGAACAGATTTGACTGAAAGTCACCGTCTACCCCCATGAACCTGTGCACAACCAGTCTGTCCTTTGCTGTCATTCCCGTGAACACTCTTTACTGCAATTATGCCCTCTCTGCTTGGCATCTATTATTTTTAACAGAACAGCTGGACAGTCCCCCCATTTATCCACTGATCCTTGTGATTATTTATTCATTCTTTTCCTTGACCACGATCAGCACCTTTTTGAAAGGAGCCACATTTGGATTTCACCATCCTCACATGGCCTCAGCCCTCCCTCAGTCTAAAGTGGCTTGTTCCTTCCTGCTGGGAGACTTGGGTGTTTTCATAGCTTTGTAGCAATCTCTCGGACCTGTAGCCTGACAGTGATTGGCTTGGGATGATCAAGCTACCACATTTTAATCTGCCCGAGAATGTGGTACAGGGAATTCCTGAGTCACGATGAGATGCAAATGAGATTGATCCTGTTCATCTATGAGCCACTGAATTCCAAGGATTTGGAAGCAGTTCAGCTTCCAGCCAGCTGTTGCTTTGCAGGAGTAGCCGAGCCCCAGGTCTGGACCCGGGAGGGCTTCCTTACAGAGACAGGATCCTGAGTATGCTGCTGTTACTGCGGAGGGCCTAAGTCAAATATTGGGCAGGGATCACCTATGTAGAGCAGAGAGGAGTGCTCAGAAACTTATGGAAAATTCCACCTTAGTGGACAATTACATTTTCCCAAGTCATTGTCTGGGGAATGTTCCCCATGTAACAAATTAAAAAAAAAATTTCAGAAAGCTTATAACTTTTCCACAACAAGTGTCCAGCTGCCTCTGTCATGTCTGTTTTCTCTATCAAAATATATGGTATTTATTTTAAAGGAGAATAATAAACATCAGTAAGAGGGAAGTTTGTTATAAATAGGATATCTGGGCTTCCAGTAATAGTAACTAAAAAGATTAATGTTGGACCCTCCCCACCTCCCATGACAAACACAGGATGAAATATAACAATGTAAAATAGAGTTCAAAACAAAGAAAGGGAAATACTCAGGTGCTAGGAATAGAGAGGAAGCTCACAGCAGAGTGGAGAGCAGATGAGCTCATTTAAAGGAAGGGGGAGTATCAGAACCAAGTAAGCCTGGGCAGCAGGGGCTGGGGGTGATGTGCCCACAGCGGGCAGGAAATAGGTCCTTGGGGGGTTAGGACTTGGAGTTATGCAGAAAAATCATTTCTGACAAAGACTGAGAGAGACTACACCTCGGAGATGTACATTGAAAGAACTCTTTGAAGTAGAAGAAATTTGAACCCAAGAAGTGGAGGGCAGGGAAAGGGATACAGAAGTAATAAATAACAAAAGCTGGTAAACATCTATGTAAATCTGAATGAGCATAGAAAGTTTTAAAAATACTAATAATGAGGACTTAGTGGCACATTTGTGGAATTTAAATAATAGACAATAATAACATAGAAGATGAAAAGGTAGTAATTATGGTAAAAAAATTACTCTTTAAGTTGTATTATTTAGGAAGAGGAGAGAGACATTGGTTAATTAAAAAAATAGAAGGCAAGTATCTAAATTCAAAATGTAATGGGACCTCTAAAGGAACAGTAGAGGCAATAGAAGGCAGGAGAAGCAAAAAGAGAAGACTGTAAACAGTGTGGTAAATAGAAAACATAAATTTTGATGGTAAAATAAATTGCAGTGTGTTAGTAGTCACAATAAAGGCTGTAAATTAAATCTAAATCTGAACATAGCTCAAAATTTTGTGGCAACATTGACAAAAACACAAGTCGTCTAACGATCTAACAGGAGATTTTAACATACCTCTTTAATAAGCTGATAGATCAAGTAGACAATTTAGCAAACATAGAAAAGAATTACAAGCTTGATCTTGTACCTCTTAATAGACCCTGGGAGCTACATACTTTTCCAAAGACACATGAAAAGCTACAAAAAGTGACTCCAAGTGAGCCAGAAATCAACCTTAACAAATACCAGAAAAATCAGTATCTTGTGGGTTCCTTTTGCTTATTACAAAACATTGCAATAAGCAGCTGGTAACAAAAAAAAAAAAATAACTTTCTCATCATTTAGAAATAACTAATAAATTAATTCATGGGTTGAAAGGATTCTCACTTTCCCAGACACCTTTGTGTTCAGTCATGGCCATGTGACCTACTTTGGACCAATGAAACATAAGATTGTCCTCTCTGCTGGAAAGGAGAAAGATGCTCAAGAAAGGCATGACCTGTCCGTGAGAAAGGGGGCGGAATGGCTGGTGACTGCTGTGAAGACAAGTAATTGTGCCTACCACATCAACCTTGATAAAACTGAACGATACAAAGAGGAAATCCACTTCAGTTAACCTACTCATGAAAACCCTACCTAAGACATTAGCAAGTCAAATACCTCAGAGTATCTAATCACAACAAATCATGACCTGATCAAATTCATCCCTAAAATATATTAGATTAATATTGAATAAATCTTTTTTGTGGATTCATTCTGCCCTGGAAAGCCAGGCACAAAATAAGGATTTCTTGCTATCACCACATCTACAGAACATTGTGTGAAGGTCCCAGCCAATGCAATAAAATAAGAAAGACACTAAGAGGCAAATTATCATTTCAGATAGTATGATTGCTAAGGGAAATTCCAGACATTCCAGAGCTGTGGATATCAATCAAGACTTCAGCAAGATTGCTGGTTATAAAATCCATATGCACACATCAGCAGGAAGAACGGATGGAAACAGAATTTTTAAAACAAATTTCATGTACAATAGAAACTTAAAGATGCTTGGTAATTTACCAGATTTTCAAAGTTTTTGAAAAAATATATAAAACACTAGGGGGGA